TTAGACATACATTATTTTATTATTATTATATTAGACATATTATATTAGACATATTATATTATTTCATTATTATTATATTAGACATATTATATTATTTTATTATTATTATATTAGACATATTATATTATTTTATTATTATTATATTATGTTAGACATATTATTATTATTATAATACTAATCATACTATTCAGCTTCTTCATGACATTAGAACTGCTTCCACATTTTTTCAATGGGTGTGTGTGTGGTGGAATGTTCGGGCCAAGAGTGCGTGACATCATCGCTGGAGTGGGACAGAGTTCTGAGATGGTTTCAAAATCTCCCGAACAAATTGCTCTACTGCCCACAATGTTCACTCCACACAAATAAATTTACCCTCAAAATGTAGGAAAACTTGTCCTCTCTCACACATTGAGTTTTCAGGACAAACGGAGCAAAGGTTTTTACACTGTGAGCTTCAAAGCGGCAGGTGGTCCAGATAACTCTCCATCTGGGGTCATGGTAAACTTCCCAAAAACTTCCCTGACCAAACCTCTTGGGACTAACTTTTTAAATCGCTGTGGTTTCCACATTTCTTGGATCCCAGACATAAAAATCACATCAACGCGTTCGGCCATTTGTCCTCTTGCTCACAAAATCAACATTTAGCCACCAACTCTTAATTTAAGCCCTTTGAAATGAGCACTCGTTTTCCCCTTTTTTTCATTGTCTGACTGCATTTAAGCAGTATCTTCTACTTGTTCTACTGCTGCTTCTTCATCTTCTACTAATACTTCTTCTTCTACTACTTCTTCTTTAACTTCTTGTTCTTCTGCTTTTACTGCTTTTCTTTTTCTACTTCTTGTTCTCCTGCTTTTACTACTTTTTCATCTTCTACTACTACTCTTTTACTTTTTCCTCTTCTTCTACATCTACTTTTTCTTCATCTTCTACTATTCCTTCAGCTGTTTCTGCTGATTCTTCTTCATTCAGCAGTGTTTTGCAAAACATTTCAGCGGTCAGCATTCCCACACATTTTCCGCAGGTAAATGCAAATTGTCTAGTTTTTTTTTTTACTCTCTGTCTGTCCGTCCTAGTCTCGCGCTCTCTCTCTCAGGCAAGTGCGATAGTCAATGAAACTGTGCTGACCCCTTCAAACAAAAACACAAACCCAGAAAAACTAGGCCTAAATAATAAGATCACGTCTGACCATGTGTCACAGAAAATGAATCACAACTTGATAATGTTTTTATTCTGTTTTCTATTCTTGCAAGTGCATAAACAAAACAAAAATAATGTCATACTAAATTATATAAAACGAAATGGCTCATCTCAGGGGGCTATCCAATAATTTACAATATAGGCTACCTGTATAGGCCAATGAAACTTTGCAGGGCTGAAATCTAGTACAAACAACTTGTCCAGTCCATATGTTTATAAATGTATTCAATGAATGTAATCATTACAAGACACAAAAAGGACAAAAGGAATAGATAAGAATCATACAGTTGTGCAGAAAAGACACAAACTGGTGAATAAAAACTGACTTGAGTGCAGGAAAAGAAAAGTAAGCTGCTCAACATTATCTGGGAGAGATCCCCCTTATCATGATGCCAACTATTAAACACACATTTGTAATGGTATACTCTGCTCGGTCATGGTTTGGGCCGCACATGATCCATGGATCATTCACTTTACAAAGAGGAAGTAAATGTGTGTGAGTTTGTGTCACTCGGGTGTTTAGCTTGGGTTGTATTTGAAGGCATCATTTGGGAATGAATCTGCCTGACCCTTTATGCCTTCAATATTAAGAGAAAACATTTTGGACCTCACTCTTTCCTAAACCCTGGTTACAGCCCTGCAATAAGTAGTTACAATGTCTCCAGAGGAGAGTGTATTCAGAGTATTGATCCATAACTTGTTAAGCTCCGACATCCATCACCTTAGATGACTTTTCTTTCATTTCAATGTTTGTTTTTTTTCCCAGGAGAACACGTTAAAACAAACAACATGCTACATTAGTTTAAAGACATCAGAGATGATACAGAGATTAATGATTGAAACTGTGCAGGTAAATTTTAAGAAAAAGAGAAAATAGTCACTTACTACCACGGCTCAGCTGCTTCGACTGCTTCCTAGCAGGTCACAAGACTCATTTCTTCTTCTTCGTTTAGGTTAAAATGTAGGAACAGACTGGTTCATTACCGCCATCTCGCGTCTTCTTCTTTTTATTATCACTCGGTGCATTGCTGCCACAACTGGTATGGATGTGGATCGGGAACTGAATTATGTTTTCACTCATTGTAACTAAATAAAGTAATACAAAAAACATAGAACAAAACAAAATAAAACAATAAAAAAATATATTCTCTCTTGATTTTGAAACAAAGCTCTATAACTTGTATAACTTGTGTATTTTTGCACTATTTTGAATTAGAATTTAGAATTTATTACTGTAAATATTATTTATCTTATTTTACCTTATTTTATTTTATCTTATTTTATTTTATTTCATTTTATCTATTTTACCTTATTTTATTTTATCTTATTTTATCTATTTTACCTTATTTTATTTTATCTATTTTAAATTATTTTATTTTATCTTATTTTGGTTGTATTGCACCGCGGGACGGAGACAAACGCAATTTCGATTCCACTGTATGTCTGGCATATTTTGAAATTGACAATAAAGTTGACTTTGACTAACCATGGAATTTCTTCGTAAAATATTACATACAGCCAGTTTCATTGGCAGTCCTCTTTTCTCATCCTCATACCTGTTATACTGAATAATAAGGTTTTCTAATGTTTCCTCTCCCTCACAGCTTACCTGCTTTACCTTACACTGTGAGCCAAAAGCATTGTCTTGAACTAGTTTATACTTTTTAGTTTTTACTGATTGTTCTTCCTATTCTCCCTTTAGATATTTTAGAACCACCTTCCTGACCTTTTTTTTTTTTTTTTTTTAAATTGTACCTGTAGTGGCTTGATCTTGCTTATCAAAACTTTGAGCCACTGAGGGGCTGATACCGCACTTCATTGACGCGCTGTTTCCGTGTTTCGTGGCAATAATTCAATCAACTCCGTGCTGTCACACTCAAAACGGGTTTATCTGAATCGTTCATTTACAATACATATTCTGGATGTCTACATACACTTATTCCACTATAACATGAATGTAAAACAAAGCCAGGATAAATGTTCCATTCACGATACATTTCAACAGCGCGTCAATGAAGTGCGGTAGTCTATCAGCCCCTCAGTGGCTCAAACTCTTTGATAAGCAAGATCAAGCCACTACATCAAGTCAAACACTGAGTGCCTCTCACGGTGGGCTGCTCACCTGTCCGTGATTAACTCTTCCTCTACCTTCTAACCTTCCCAACCCCAAAGTGAATGTGCCCCCCTACTGTGACCCAGAGCACACATACATACTGAACACACAAATGGCTCTAACAGTACCTTTATTTTACCAGTTATTAACCCATCGAGATCAAGATCTCTTTCACAAGGTGACCTGGCCAAGAGGGCAGCAGCACGTCATCATAAACATTACATCTTCTCCACTGCATTTCCACCTTTCCCTCCCTCTTGTAGTCAACGGATGTTTTCATTTTCATTTTACTGTACAGTTCTTTTATGTCAGGTATGTTTTAGTTGCGCATATGTCAGCAGTTTAATGTCCCTTTATTCTCTTTGCTGTACCCATACTCAGTCCAGAGTCCAGACAAAACAGAATTGAATCACTACGCTGCCAGTAACTGGAACAAGCTGCCACCAAAGATTAGATGTGCTCAAAACCTAAACATTTTCAAATCTAGCTTAAAAACATTTCAATTTTCATGCACTTTGAATCAGCCTTAAAGCTTAAACCTTATTTTTCAATTTGTTATCATTGCAGTTCACAAATAATTATCATGCGCTCTAATTGTTTTTATGTCTCTTGAACAAATTATTTTATTCTTCTTGACTTGACCAGTACTCCTATTTTAGCCTTGTGTTTGTGTAGTCTTTAGTAGAGCACATTGAGTTGCCTTTATTGCATGAAATGTGCTCTATAAATAAGTTGCCTTGCCTACGGTCATCATTTGGGTTCCTTAGCATACAGGTTTTTTTGAGTTTCTCAACAGATGTACTGTCTGAACGGCTACCTTTTGCTTATCAATGATGAACTGGAGTTAGTAGCGTATCTAAATTACAATTTCTTTTCATGACTGATGTCTTCAATCCATTATGTTGATAACATTGCCCGCATTTCTCCTGTGTACAAACCATCATTAACTTGTTTACGTTTTTCTTTTTATTTCAATGGTGAATCCCAAACTGTGAATGCTACACCTATTTTTTTAGCAAGGTTATTTGAAGTACAGGCATACCATTTGAACAAAGCTGTGGTATTTATTTTCTATATACGTCTGTATAATTTGTGGATGTAAAACTAACTTGTCTTTTTCACTATATCATAGCTATTTGAAATCTACTATTTACGTCCCCAACTAGTATGATTAGAATGATCACTTTATACTACGTCATTTAATAATAAAGAAACTTGACTAATCAATTAAATGACTTAATTAAAAACACACATCCTTTCTTCTCAAAGATGAAACTAGCATTTAAAGTGCCTTACCATCATCCCACCAACAAAGCTGAAGTGTTTCCCTTTGAGGTAAAGAAAATCTTCATAAAACTGTTTATTTAAACTCAATCCAGGATCAAGACCTACTCGCTCATTTCAAGCCCACACTTTAGTAACTTCAACTGTTTCTTCTAACTAGCCAACAGTCACATAGTCCTAATGGTATCCTCCTTTTTAGTTTTTGATGCTGTTCCTCAAACTGCATGCTTTATTTCATATAGCTCACATCCTTCCTCCAATGATTTCACCTTTGTGTGAGAGAGAACATGAGAAGGAGAAAAAAGGCATCCGGCTGGTTCAAATTAATTGATTTAAAAATAACACCATGGTTTCAGACAATTGGACACCCGCCCCCCTCTGACTAAATAAAATGAACTTACTTATGTATTATTTTCACAAGACCTTTATTAAATTAACTCTTTTACAACAAACACTCTTGGAGCATCCTGCTCATAGTTTGGGGGGTCCAATTATCTTCCATCCCTCCATCTTGCCCACTTTCGTAAAGAATGCCACAGTCCCGAGTCCAAGACACGCTGTCGTACCAGTCATAGCACTGTGTGCTGGGGATAGAAACACACACACAGCAGTCAGTAAAGCTTCTGGAAGGCAAGCGTAGCATTATTTTTTACAGTTTCTCTGCCATCAAACAATAATTATCAGAATTGAATCACACAATTAAGCACTTTAATTCTCTACAACAGGCATACTTGTTTGTGTATGAATATATATAAACAAACATAAATATATATTTACACATCTAAGATATATTTTATTAATTCCACAGGGGGATTTTACACTCTGTTGTTGAACATGCTACACACACAGGCTGAAATAAACACAAATGAACAAACTAGTCCAATGGACATGCACTAATGGAGAGGTCTCAGAGTGAGGGGGCTGCCCACAGCGAGCACTCCTGAGCTGGTGGGGGGTTCAGTGCCTTGCTCAAGGGACGTTAACTGGCAGCTCTCCAGCTACCAGACCACTTTCCAGACTTGGTCCGCACCAGGACTTTAACCGACTCCCAACCCAGGGCCATGCAGACTGAGCTACTTCCGCCCCAGATTCCTAGATTCCTCTGTTGCCAGAACTTAGGTTTGGTACTTACTTCTTGCTCCCAGGAAGATCCCAGAGGCACAGCCTCCAACGAAGTAATTAACCGGGTCATCTGGGGCTTCACGAGCCTGAGCAGTGAGACACGTCGCCATGCCAAAGATGGCTCCCATGGTGGCTGGTACAACACAGATGGATACACATGTCAGGATAACACTTTTTCTTTCAATTTACAGAATGCAATGATAAGTACTTCAACATTTAGAGAAGAAGATATACTTTAGTGCATCATCACTTTATATTTAGTGTTATGTCTGAGAAGTGAGGAGTAAAAGATTCTGCTCAGCTATGGATATCATTTACGTCAACAAACATTTATTTTGGTAACAAAACAACCTTTTCAAACAAGCTGAATAACAGCCTTGGCCTAGTGGCAAGAACAGCCTTTGCCAGGGTGCCAATAGCATGAAGATAAGAAAATCCTTTATTGAGATATTGAAGTTGCAGCAATACGAGGACAAAAAAAGCATAAATGCGTTGAAGACGACAAGATGAAGAATAAATATTATGACACGTTTAGGTTATCAAAAAAGTTCAGGTTTACATAAAAAAGTTACAGTTACATGAACGTACTTATTAAGTCACCTCGTAAAACAGTTCATCCAGAATCATTGCGTTGTGGCTCTGTCGGCCAATCAGAGGCTGAATCTGTCATACGCTGTAATGTAAGGGCCAATGAGAAACAACTAGAGCCTGAAACAGACGTTACAGCCCAGTCATACAAAGACAAACTGATTTGAATGGATGGGGGGAAAGGGAATATAATCTATTAAAAGATCGATTTGTGGATTTTATGAATCATAATTCTTATTAAAATCGAATTAAATCGATTTTTTTAAACCCAGTCCTGTTATCTGGCCAACAGCAGCTCAATGTTACTGTGCATGTAACAGTTTTCTGTGGGTCGTGTCAAACCTATTTAAAAAGGATCAGTAGAATATTCTAGGTGAACCTCCATGCTATGTTCAAACAGCCACACCGTGCAATCTCCTTCATAAATAAAATGTACATGACATCTTTTCTAAGGGAAGAGGGCAAATCACAATCAGTCTGATTCCTTTTAAATCCTTCATCGTGTGAATGACGGATCAAGATTCAACACCTACACGCCACAATCACCTTTGGAATGGAAAAAAGCATTGCCAGAAGCCGCGAAGAGCAGCCATGTTTTTTTAACTTGGTCATGGAGCTAGGACATTCAGTTGTAAATTCTGTCACAAAGGACAGTAAAAACTCAAAATATTCTTTTGACAGCAGTGTTGTACTCAATGCTGTTTTCTCTGATGACCTAATCACATTTTACCTTCCTATTCTTGCCCACTATTAGGATATTCTGTGTACCATGTACTGTCTCGCTTAAGTGATGTGAACACAGTAGAAGGTTCATCAGTAATGATAGACAGACTTTATTTTAAGTTATGAATACAACATAATAACTAATAATAATAAAAACAATACCTTGAAACAGTTTCATAGCTTCTCAGTAAGATTTATCAAGAAGGAAAAACTTTCTCATTGCACTTTCAAGCAGTGGGATTCTTTTCAAATATGGCTCAAAGACGAGATAAATGTGTACTCTTCAAAGTTTGAATGTCAAAGTGTATATTTACCCATGGTGACAGTTGTGTTGGTTGCCCTCTGTAACGCCACCAGTGCAGAATCAGGCTGGTATGCCACTATGTGATAGGCTGAACCTACCAGGCCTGAAACAACATAGAAACATAAAAACATGAAATCAAAAATTAATTCAAAGTTCTCATTTAGGGCTGACTATAACCCTGTTTACATCTGGTATCAGCATGGTGATCATAACACAAGTGGATAGCTTTAATTACAGGTGTGAACACACCCAGGACTCATTGAGGCCAATACGAAGCAGGTCTGGGATACATTTCTACACATTTGTCTGGCAGTGTGGACCACCATCTCTCCCCATATACATGGCAACATGACGTGGAGTAATAGACCACAGTCACATATATTAGACTTATTTAAGATGGTTCCTCTGTGTGTCATGATTATCCTAATCTTTCTTATATTTCCCTTGTCATTTCAAGCATGTGAAGATGTGTAGATAACACATTAATGCTGCTGCTAGTGCATGTTCCCCCTCTGTGCCGAGAGACTGTATTAGGGCCTTTTTCCACAAACAGCGCTAACACTTAGTGAGCCAGCAGCACCCACAACCTCTGTTTAGGAGCGTCTAATCACCAGAGCTTAATGTTGCACAGACTCAGTGTTCGAACTAAACCTGTGTTCTGAAACAGGCCCCTGAGCTGCTCGGTCCCGGTTGACCGCTCACTCCTGAAGCTTTCCGTTTTCTTCATATTCTGTACGGTGGTTGATTCCCAGATGGTGGAACAAGTTCCTCGGCAAGCTTTCTTTAACAGCTACCGCTTTCCAAAATAGTCTGCAGATTGGAGTCTGCAGGTTGGAGGTGGTGTTTGTGTATCGTCTCATGGCGCTGTTTGTTTACTTATTTTTCACTTGAGCCATGAAGACAGCTATGCTATCTCGGCTTGTTGTGATGAGGGAACACTGCTTGTGTTCTCAATGAGCATGCGTAGTAGTCGGTCCTGCTCGGCTTGATCATATGCAGTGAATTCAAGTGGACTCTCCAGGCTGTTTAGAAAGGTGTTTTTCAAAATGAGTGACATACTCGATATTGTTATTTTGTACATTGTTAAAACAACAATTTTTAAAACAAGCAAGATATTAATTTGTAGGATATATATTGCACACTCCTACAGCTGGCTGGCCCAATCATACCTTACACAGGACCATCTATACCACTTTCCCTCCCCACAAACATGAGTGTCAAAACAATCCCCCTTAGATATGTAATGCAGCCTAAACTCCAGACCTTTAGTCAAGATGCTGTCACCTGCGTCAACCTAAATATCATAACACAGGCAGAGGACAAGGTCTGTGCGGACACAGTCACCACCACACATGTATGGAGGTCAGAAAGATGGAGTGGCATTACTTATTACTAGAATTACTAGAAGTCTATATTCATTTTCAGGAGAAAAAAAAAACTACTGACTCTATCTTTAAGTATTTTCATGTACATTTTAATCATCTACATTATTCCTGGAAATATATTTAATTGTTATTAACAGTTAATGTAATTTTGTTAAAATTGAGATAAAATGTTTTTAGTAGTAAGTTAGAATAAATTATATTTTTTAAATAGTTGCCAACTTTTTTGTTTTCTAATTTTACTTGAGAAAGGTATTATACACACACACACACACACACACACACACACACACACACACACACACACACACACACACACACACACACACACACACACACACACAGTTGATACTGTATGTGTTTACGGCACTCACTTATCAGCTTTGTAATGGTTTGGGGGGGGGGGAATGATGTTATAGACCTTCTAAGAGGTGACACCTGGATGACGTACAGTTATGTCGTGTTTGACAGACTGTAAGGGGCCGAAGCCAAATGTTCTTCCCAGTCCAGCACTGGCTGCAACCAGGCCCGATCAGCCCTGCTCTGTGGTGTCCCAGTTATAATTATTAATTAACTCAAATGGTTCTGAATTCTTCTCTCTTCATGATTTATAACCCCACAAATTACCAAAACATGCTATGGTTTCATTTTTAGTGTTTGGACAAAAAGAAGAAACACTGAAAATATGTAACCTTGTTAAAAAGATATTGTGTTTTTTTTAAGTAATTTCCAACATTTAGATTTTAACCTCTTGATTAAAAACCCTCTCTAGAAAAAAATAACTATGTTGGTCCTCAACTCTGGGCATTCATATGTGGAATCTAAAACTTTAAAGAAAAAACAAACGCAGCTATTTAACAAAACACATTTCTGGAGGTTTGTTAACACTGTAAGGTGCAAAGCAGATCACAGCTGAATGTTTACAGGTGCAATGAAGGGCGTTCAAAGAGCCTGCTAAATGTTTCTAAAAAGCTGAAGGGTTAAAGGTTACTCTTAGATAGAGCAGTGTTGAAGTTATCTGTTGAAAGCGATCACGTATCGTTACTTTTGATCACACTAATACATTTGCTATTTTGAACCGGGCCTGACCAAAGTAGAATCGGTTTAGATGTTTATGTTGTGACGGTGACCTGCAAGCAGAGCCTACCATTTCTCTGCTAGCATGCTAGCTCAAAGCATCAAGCACGTTTAACTTTTGTTAAAGAGTACGTTCAGAATCGCGGCATGGCACAACAGTCCTTCATTGTGTACCCCTGCTGATGCTCACCCAAAGCTGTGGCCAGTTTGGTAGTTATCCATGTTTTTTCGACGCAGTCTGTGCCTTCTTGTAGGTCCCAGTACCCCATCTCGGATTTAGCAAGGACACACTCTGAGGAACGCAACTCTCGCGAGATCCTTATTCATTGCAAGTTCCTGGAGGCTGGCAAACCAGAGCATGATGCACTACCGCCTCCTAGTGGAAAGGAGTGCTTGCAGCTCAAAATGAAAGACTGCTTGTTATATAAAAGTAAGAATACAATTTACCACACAGATAAGACACCTTAAAGGCTTTATATGCGATCACACTTAAAAAAAATTGAAATCAAGTATATCCTCTGAAAATAACTGTGAGTCATGACTGTCTACAATGGGTTTGACACCTGATTCCCACTGTCTGTGATGTTTTCAGAGTTTTCAGAGTCCTATCTTCAGTTTGTTTACATCGCCCGGACGGCCAGCTGACTCCTCCCCTCGCGAATAAAAGTTGTTTAATTGAGGGACTAGAGAAAAGAAGAATAACATACTGTACTCACTGTTTAACTGTGTTTCTAGATCACGCTCATTTCAGGTAAATTTACATGCAGTGTAAAGATACGAGCATAATAAAGAACTCTAGCATTTAGCATGCTAACACAACAATGCAGCGCAAGTTGTTTTGGTTTCATGCTGGTGCTCAAGGGCGACATCTGCTGGTTCAAAAAATCATATATAAAGCCTTTACAGGTATTAGGTAAGGTGGCCGTATGGGGCCATCAACAACAACATTTTAACCTAATGAAGTGACCAAAACACCTTAGCAAAATCTAAACCAGGAAAGTAACAAGGACAAAAAAAGTGTAAAAAGTTACACAAAAAACACACAATATTGGGGCACTGGTGGCGCAGTGGTTAGTGCACTCGCCCGATGTATGGAGGCTATAGTCCTCAAAGCTGGCAGCCCAGGTTCAAATCCCATGTCATTCCCCACTCTCTCTCTCTCCATGATTTCTAGCTCTGTCCACTGTCATATCTCTCCATTAAAGGGACAAAAAGCCCAAAAATAAATCTTACAAAACACACACATACCACACATATCCACACATCATGGATATTCTCTCCCAGATGAGCCCTAATATGTTACATCCCTGGCTCAGGGGCAGCAACATAAAGGAGTCAAAAATAACCTTTATTGCCAAACAATGTAAAACAAATACTCCAAGAAAGGGAAAAATGATGGCTGAAGCCATGCATCTGATTGACTGCAGTTGGTTTTGATTTAGGATGTTCTTCAGGTGCAGCAGATCAGGGGTTAATGGGAGTATGGAGGTCAGCTAGTGTCTCAAAGAAAACAAAATCAGGCTTACAAATAACACTATTTATTAATTTAACATTGTTACATTTCCATGTTTGTCAGATAACACATCAGGGTACACTTTGAATAAGCAAAAAAAAGAAAAAGAGTCAAACTTTAAAACTGTAACACTACTGTACTTCATGTTCTTTGTCAAACTGCAATTAAAATGTACTTGGGTCTGGGTTTCATTGCCCCACAATTTAAGTCTTTATTAATATTTCCAATTTATAAAAAGACAAAAGGAAAAATAAATTGAGAATTATTGAAAGGATGATGGAACGTATATGGTTTACATTCAGAAAAATAATCAGTTGTCAAATAGACATTATTTCTTCTTCCAGAAGTGGCTGTATTTGTCAGCTTTGAAGTCATCTTCATAGTCGACGGCTGTCTGTTTGACCGTTCTCTTTACTTCTCTCTTTTTCTGCCGAGCTCGACGCTCTTCTTCAGACACAGTGGACAGGTTCACTGGCATCTTTGACACAAAAGAGAAACACCAATCAACTTACAAAACATTAATAATCATGATCACATATGTTGTAGGGTGGTTTGTCTTAATATCTTGTTTTGTACATATTAACAGAGATAGGTTAGGCTTGTAATAGAGCAGGATGTTGCAAGAGATCTTCAATAAATAAAGACTGCTATTCAAAATGTGACTTGCTATTTAATTATAATGGTAAGAATTTCTCAACAGGTCATTAAAAGCTATATAAAAGTAAACTGTACAGAGCATAAGCTGGACAAAGTAATCAAATGACTTTATACTGATGTCATCACAGTTATCCTAAAAATAAAAACAAAGCAAGGGTTAGGATGTGTCAGTGACTTCAGTTTTAATTTTTAATTTTAAAATGTGTACAAAGCTGTGTGTATAATCGTGAAAACTGTAAATGATGGGCCTGATAACAGAGCAAGTTTGACAAACTGAGTGGAACCCTGACCTGTGAGCTGAAGGTGCTTTCAGGTGATCAGTGCCTACACTTTTAATGAATGCCAATTGCATGCAGAATTTACTCTTTAAAATAACAGCACCAACAACTTGTTTTCTCTCTCCAAATTAATGAGACATTAGAAGCCCTAAACAGAGCAGGGAGTCAAGAAGAGAGTGTACAAACCAAGAGGAGGCGTCTGGGTTCATTGTATCTGATATTGATTGTAGATCCATCGGGCCGGACCAGCATCACTGGGTATAATCTCTCATATTTCTGACGACCACAGCGCACCACTGAGGTCCTGTTGGAGTTCAGATGAGGAGTTTGACTATGGAGCAGCGCTGCAGGGTGCAGGCGGAGTGGTGACACTGTCCTGGTGAACACATACAAAACACAAGTATTCATTTTTGACAGTGTATTCCGCAGTCATTTCCTCTGTTCTAGATGTTGAACAGGCTTGTTAAAGAAAACACACACAACAGGGTAAAAGAGACACATCGGATGTACGGCCAAAAGCACGCTTAAGGAACGGACCGGTTTCAGAAAGCCAACTACACAGCAGTCATTTCTGTCATTCTTCTCTTACCATAATAAAGAACTCCGTCCAGCACAAAGCTTTAGAAACATATTAGAGTCAGTAAATCAACAGTGTTTCTGAATCTTCTGGCAGCAGCAGTCAAATGAGCTGAAGTGCTTCACCAAGGGGTCGAACAAGACGGTGGGGTAGGTTGATCTTCTTCGGTGGCTTTTTATGGCAGTAGGCATCTGTTAGTGTTGCATTACCGCCCCCTGCTGGATGAAGTCAGTGTTACACTACAAACCACACTGAGGCGTGCAATGTCTGATTTATGTGTCTGACACAATAGAAAGCGTTTTTTTTTTAACTTTCTTGTAGTTCATACACGTTTACAAACTGTAAGGCAAACATTCATAAATCCTTAAGCAGAACAAAACTAGATCACTTAGAAAAATAAAATCATAGCACTGCAGAATATATAATATTAAATAAATAAACAAGAAAAACAAAACAAACAAACAAAATAATTACAAACCTTTTGAGACATTTAATTTGTGAGGTCATTCTTGACTACATTTAAGAGACCTTTGGCTCATCGTCTCTCAACGATCCCCAGCACCTGCAGCAACATGTGCGATGTGTCCTTGGGCAAGACACGGCGGCGTATGAGTGTGTATGAACAGGATTAGTTACTTCTGATGGTCACTTTACATAGAAACTTCTACCATCAGTGTGTGAATGTGTAGGTGTGACTGGCGGTGTAAAAGAGCTTTGAGTAGTCAGAAGACTAGAAATAAACAAGCTCAAGTCCCTTTACCATTAGTTTGGCTTTAATGAATTTAAGGTGCTTATAGGGTTCAATTTCATTAAAGTGACAGAAACCTGTAACCAGAAAATCAGGTCACTAGTTTTGCTGTATAACCGTTCCATGAACTGCCTCCAGATCCACTGAGTATGAGAGCATAATACAAAAAGATGTTTGGTGTCTAAATATGGCTTTTACAGAGGGAGCATTCATTGTTCTCAAATCCAAATCTTCATTTTATAATTTTTATTAAAAGGTTAGAAATGATCCATAACTTTGTTTTGAATTTCCTTTGTTTGTGGGTGAGACTGGATATTTGAATTACTTTGTTCCCAGTTTCGAAACTTGGCGAATTGGTCAAAATGTTAAAAAAATATTGTTTCTACAAAACTGAGCAGGGTATAAAGCATTTAAAATAGACCTTGTGAATTTATTCGAACACTTTTTGTCAAGAAAATTAAGTCCATATATCATAGGTGAGGAAAGATTAGATGGGGACTGTGGAGGTTAAATATATATTTTTTGCTGATGTCAGTATTGGATTTTTTAAGGTTAAATATTTTGGTGTTTTGGGTCATTGTCTTTGATTTAATTTATTGTAAGATTATATTAAGTATGGAGATAAAGGGTGGCATGGGTATGGGTGGGGATGTTGTATTGATTTAACTCACCTGTTCACTTTGTTCTCAGTGGAAGAGACAGGGTGAGCTGGGTCACCAATACTTTTAGTTGACTGCTACTGTATGGCTCACTGTGATCACTGTAATGCATGTTGTCTAAACTTAATTATTGTTGATAAAAAGTCAAAGTTATTTTTCATACCACAGTGATTTTTTGGTAAGCGAGTCAGACAAAGTACTAGGCCCAAGCTCAGCCTCTTAGCAGCTTCATCGTTCCTGAAAGTCACTACAGTAAGGACTGGTTGTATATAGCACTACGAAGAGAGGTAAATTCTTTGGGGATGCGTTCAAAATCATATTTACTTTATCTGCATTACTGCTGACGCTGAGCCAATCCGTCTGTCAACCCCATGCTCCATCCTACCCAAAATCTGACCTCTGCTTTTTGCAGATGATGTGGTTTTGTTGGCCATAAAGAGGTGTGTACATTCATTTCCAAACCAACAAAGCGCTTTGAGTAGTCAGAAGACTAGAAAAGCGCTATACAAGCTCACCATTTACCCTTTATATCAGGATAAGCCCCTTGATGTGTATCACCTCATTTCAAGGGTGTCCCAAACAAACATATACAAAGACAAAACAAAACAAAACACTAAGAACAACAACAACAATAAACTACAACCATTACAACAACAGACTAAACACCTTAGAGAAGAGAGGCTCAGTCTATACACAGAGACAAACAAACATAAACAGTGCTGACACAAGTTAATACATTTGAAAAAAACCTTGATACCAGTGAAATTGACGTCTTGCATTGAGAGGGAGCCAGCTGAGTGTGTCATTGTAGAGTGATGTGTAAAAAAAGAACAACCTAGTATACATCTGCAGTCTGTTTTGTAAAACATTAAGGGGATGAAGATCAGTTTTAGATGCATTTTGGTAAACAATGTCAGCATAGTTTATTATTAGTAGTATGAGTTGTGAGTCAAGTTTCTTTTTAACATTTAATGTGAAGCAATGTCTGGAGCAGTATGGGAAAAAAGAGACTCCATGGGTAATTCCTCAGGCAAGTTGGGAAATGATGAGACAACACTTCAAGAAAAATTTCCACAGGTCAACATTTTTATAAATTGTCTACAGGTCCATGGTCGAAATTGTTCATGAAAAATTTTGACAGGTCCGTGATCAACATTTTTTAATTAAAATTTTTGACAGGGGCGCGGTCAACATTTTTTCAAGAAAAGTTTGGTCAAACATTTTTCCTGAAAAATTTTGACTGGTCCGTGGTCAAATTTTTTTCATGAAAATTTTCAACAAAACTTTTTCATGAGCATTTTCGATAAGATTTGAAAAATGTCGACGTTTTATTTTTTAAAACCAAAGAACAGAGTGTTTTATTTTGTAAAACCAAAGTAAAAAAATGCTTTATTTTGTAAAATCAAAGGACAAAGTGTGTTTTATTTTTCAAAGCCAAAGTTCAAAGTGTTTTATTTTAAAAAATCAAAGTGCAAAATGTTAAAACTGCTTTGTTTTATAAAACCAAAATACAAAGTGTTTTATTTTATAAAACCAAAGAACAAAATGTTTTTGTTATTGATCCCAGGGAAGTTGTTTTAATTTTACAGCACAGATTTTTCAAAACAAAACACAAAATGTGAGATAAATTACATGCAAATGCATACAATAATGTAAAGATTGAATTGATAAAAAAAAAGATAAAATATTATTCAAATTTAAGACACTTTGAAGTTGCAACCAATGATGGTCATTAATCAAAAAATAGGTTGATCATCGAGTGAAATTCTGTCTTTAGTGTGACTTTTAAATCCATTTTTACTACAGACATTACTAATGGAAAAAAACGATTCTTACGTTCCTTAAGCGGAAAGATTTTAAAATATGACCATCTCTTTGTTTGTTTCAGTGCTTTAAAAATGATGTGTTATTTAAATTGAAAATACATTTGTGCGATCCCTGAAAAGTTGTCAATTGTTTGTTATTTTTTGAGGATGAACCTTCATATTGTATGAAGTTATTATGTTTATATGTATCTGTTTATCTCATTCTGGGACTGGTGGTGACGGGAGGGTTGACAGTGGGAGTTATTTTGTTACTTTTGTAATTGTAAAAAAACTAAGTTGTTTACAAAAAAAGAAGAAGAAGTTGGTGTGTTATGCATTGTTTACATGTCTTTATTCTGCCGGGCATCCTCTGATGGTGACTGGATGAACAGATCTGGATCTGTTCTCAAAAGAAACATGAAGTCCATTCAGCTTCACATTTCTCAAACATCCAAAAAATGGAGACGACACCAAGAGTTTGTGTTTTGTTGTTGTTCCTGAAAAAACAGAAAGTATAAAATATTCTCATATGTTCTGTATTTTTGGAAAACTTTACTTTTTTCCTGAATGTGATAAATTAAAATTGATGTATTCATACTGAATATGTGTGTGTACATAGAGGACACAATCAGAAATGAATAGATGTGTAAATAAAACTTGAATTTAATATTTTGATTATTGTACCCCCCTCCCTTAAAAAACACATAAAATAACAAATATAGAGAGAAATTAATTCATAGAAAAAAATAACAAATAAAAGTAACAGTCTTGAGTATTTTAATTTGCTTCTTATGTGTCTCTATGTTTATATTCATTCATCAAACTAAATATTTACCTCTTTTTATTTTTCAGAGATTAAATTAAAATATTTAGAACATAAATTAAAGGAGAAATTAAATACGAAAGTATAAATAGGGAAAATGAAACAAAAATTAAAGAAAAGTGAATACAATTATGTACGAAATATGAGTTAAAGATAAAAGTTGATCTCTAATATTTCATTTAATCTTTTTACAGTAATATTACTTTTGGTTCTTTTGATCCCATATTAATTTACTTTTTTAATATATTTGTTATTTTCTCTACATTCCTCTATATGTATTCAGGGTTATTTCTCAAATGTGAAGTTGTTTTTATGAGCATACCTCCGATATAAAGACTTTCCAGTTTAGTTGAGCTCCAGGTGGAGGCAAAGGGTACTTTTTTCTGCTCTGACCAGGAGTCCACCTCCAGTTGAACGACTTCATGCTGTCTGGACACTGCAGGACAAAAACATAATGTCATATAATCTCCCCTTATAATCATCAGATTTTAGTAACGATGTCACTAAGAAGTGAAGTTACCTGTGACCAGGTGAAAGTTCCCGTCACAGAGGCTTTGAGGGGGAGTCACTGACAGACTCACAGTGTTCATCCCAGCTTTCAGGCTGACACCAATCTTCAAAAAAGTAACAAGCATAAAACATCAGAGGATGAAAAAGTGCACACATAAAAGTCTCGTGGAAATACAGATACATGTGTAAAAATAACTCAGCTAAAAGTAAAGGCCCTTACACACCAAGGAGACCGTCGGTCCGTCAGTGAGTGGTCGTCCCCCTAATTTTTGCGGTGTTTTTTCAACTTTTTATTAGACATTATTCTCAATTAGAAGTATCTATATTACGTGTCTTGAGCGACGGCGGTGAGAAAATTGTCTTCTCGTAATCTCAACAATGGTTTATTTATCTGCGCTCTTCCTCGTCCTTTTCCCCTTTTTGTAATGACGATTGCTGGCATGGAGAGTTATTTACTCTCAGCCTTGTGCAGAACGTACGTGGTGGTTGGCCGTCGGCTGCAGTCTTTGCTGTGTGTTCTAGTTCAACTTTTTGGCCAAGACAAAAGGCGTCAGGCAGCCTTTCTTAGCCACTAGTGCTTGTCTGTCTGCTTGGTGTGTCAGGGCCTTTAAAATATTTA